TAAAATATAATTTTATTTTAAATTTTCTTCAGAATCGACTTCATATTTTAAAAATCTCAAAAATTGAAACTAAAAAAAATTATTTCACTTGACCTTACTTAAATTAATTAATTTAAATCTGTTTAGTTTAACTAATTAGTTATTAGCAAAATTAATTAAATTCAATTAAAGCGAAATACTACGATATTAATTTTAGTTAATTTTATTAACTAATTAAATTAATTGTTTGATTAATTTTCTTATTAATTATTAATTTAATGTATTGATTGGTTACAAATTTAAATAATTAATTTAAATTAAACTAATTTAAAAAAATAATAGTTTTTAATTATTTTAAGTAAATTAGATGTAAAAGTTGATAATTAAGTGAAGTACTATGATTTAAACGAAAATTGCATAACAGACGTGTCTAAAAAAAAGCAAAATTAATATTAAAAAATCTTCAAACTAAAAAACTATTATTAATTTATGCTCATTTCGAAAATTATACAGTTGGAGGTTCTAGAAATGCTTGCGCAATGTGGTGCCGATCTGAATGCCAAAAATAAGGATGACGAAACGCCTTCAGGTAGGCAACAATTTTTTTTTTGCTGTAGAAACAAGTACAAACTTAAAAAAAATTAAAATAATTTAATATCTCAACATGAATCCGTTGTTTAAACATAGATATCTGCGAAGACCCTGAGATACGCGAACGCATCGAACAGCTGAAAACCGAGCAGGAGAGTAAACGGCTGGCAGAGGCGCAACGGCGACGTGTGCGACGCTCACAAAGCAATAACACGCGGTGAGTGGAAAATCTAGCAAAGTTTTCTCAAAATATATTTTTTTACTATCGTAAATTCCTATCTTTTCTTCCAAACCTCTTACGCCCACAGCGCCCAGTCTGTGCGCCGCACCTCCCTGCGCGACAAGACGCTAACAACCAAAAAGGACGCCGTCGAAGAGGCGCGTCTGCGTTTACAAGCACAAGAAGTCTTCATTGCACCGGACGGTACAACGCACGCCGATACAAATGGTATCAGCAGCAGCAGCAACACCACTACCAATAATCATCATTCCACGTTGGCGCTATTAGATGGCGTCAACGACACAACACTTGCCTCCACGCACGACTACAATTGGCTCACGAAAGCGCCAACAAATAACAATAACAACGCCAACAACAATAATAATAATAACAATACGATTAGTAGTAATAATAACAACGATAAGAAAGTGGCAGCATATACAGCTAGTCTTGCAACGGCGGCGTCGGCAACCACAACGACAACAACAAACGGTACTGTTAACACGTATTTGCCACATTCGCTGTCCGCCATGGATGTGATGGATGCCTCGTCGCATGCATTTAATTCACGTCGACCGCCGGAGGGTCGTGAAAATGACGAATTACAGTTGAACGCCTACAAAGCCGGTGGCGGCGAACATCATCGTTCGACATCGGCGTCAGCAATGATTGTTAGCGATCGTAATAACATGGCAGCGGCGGCCGCATCGACGGTCGGCCCGGATGCGGTGCACATACAGTCCAGCAAGGAGGCGGCGAATGGCAAGATAAATGTGCAAGTGACAGTGCTCGTGGGTAAGTGGAGAATGTGCGCGCAACATACGAACGTTGTGCTGGTGTAGGGTGTTGGCTAGTGTGAGTGCCGATTTCGCTGTAATATGATATTATAAATAAATAGTTGGCTTAGTGGTGGGTGGCAAGCGTGGCGTATGATTAATGTAACGCTTTTAGTTTGCTTTATTTGCGGCTTGACATCGCTCAGGCGCCTAGTGGTATGCTATTATTTTGCTTATTTATTATGTTTTCGAAGGACATGCATGTGACAAATGTTCTTTAGCTTTTGATTTGACAAATAACTTTGATTCAAGCATATTTTTATGGCGTAAAAATGTGGTTGTTTGCAAAATATTCATAAAAAAATTTAAAATCATGAATTAAGCGTAGGAAGTAGTCATCCATATTTTATGGTAGTGAAATTTTTTTCATTAAAATATTGTATACATTTATTTGAGGGGAGAGATAACCATTTATATATAATATCACAACATATTTTTCAAAAACGTTTGGTTTTTTGTTACACCTAACTGTTTTTGGTATCCCAAAAACATGTGAGATAAATAACAAGTTTTATGTATTATGATATCTGAATGGCTGTGCTTCCGTTTGTTTCTTCGTACATTTGTCTATTCGTCCAACCGTGAAAGCTTCACTTGCCCAAAATTTTATACACATCTTGTCACTCCCTGATGATTTGACATCAGATATTCCAAAAAATATTGCAAGAAAAATTATTTGCGTGGGAACTGGCCACTTTTTACCAAACCCTCTAATCTCACTGACTTTGAAGGCCGTCTGGATTAGATTAATACTATATATGCGTAACGTAATTTTGAGGATTGCTGCCTAGTTGATCGGATAATATCCAAGACTATTCACATTACGTAGACCCGACTGTCGTAGTAGCGGGTTCTTCCATTAGCTTCACTGGATAACTTAAGCAAATTTATCGAAGAAAAACTGGCATCTGTCAACTCTCCTCCAAAATGTTCAAAATCGGTGCATTTCTGCTCAAGTGGCCATATATCGAATATTAGAACCTCGGTGCCTTGCATTAATTTTATACAATTAATCTAAATAATGTCTAGTTGGACATAGGTGAAAATAAATTACCCACTATACAATGCTTTGATGCCAATAAAGGGGAGTCAGTCTATTTATAGACCTAACTCCCGATTATCGAATATCCAGGCTGTATATCTGTAGAATTTACGTTAATTAAGTTGATAAACAATATATATTAAGGATTAAGATTAGCATCAAAAACTCTATTATTTTGGGAAGAATGAAGAAACTTTCTCTTTTTTTACGAGTTCCATCGTTGCCCTATTTTAAAAATGAAATTTCAGGAAAAACGTGTTTGAAGTTTTATTGCTGAGCTGAACGACCAGAAAAGTTTGATACTGCAACGCATTGGACAGAAAACATTTTTTTCACTTTCCCTATTCCATTGAATAATGTTCTTAGAATCCTAAAGTCTACCTCAAGCTAAAGAAATTTCTAGACCAGGTAAATCTTAACAGAATTGAGTAAATAATTAGAAAAAAGGGCGTAATCGGTTCACAACTAACTCTGATTCAAAAACACAAAATTTTTTCGAAAAACAGCATCGCATTAACATCTGTGAAACAATACTTTCCGACTACCAGGATGTCAAAAAACGTGTTATTACAGGCAATGAGTCTTGAATCTTTGCTTACGTCTCAGAAACCGGCGATCAATCAGCCGAATATCGTGGCAAATATGAGCCGAAGGTCAAAAATCAAGGTTACCTTAAAAGTTTTCTTCATTATAGATGTGTGGGGCACTCTAAATTCCTTTCGACCAACCAAACTGTCTAAAAGAAATACTATTTCAGTATTATGTGTCTTCTGCGTGAAGTTGTTTGTGAAAAGACACAAGTGTATGGGACCAAGGTGTTTACTTTGAGGGAGAACGACATACATTTTGAAAAAATAAATTAAGAATTTTTAAATTTTGACAAATTCTTACTATTTTTTTGCTCATGTTTATAAATCTCGGCTATTACCACGTAAGCGCCGTCTACGCAAATAAAGAAGATAAATAATAGTCAGCGTGACCATCTAAGTCTAGTCGAGTTGTTGTTGTTGTTGTTGTAACGGCAGAATTCTGCCGAGTTGACAGTCCTTGGCCGGATAAAAATCCGGGGCCGTTCCGGTTTTCGTAGACCCGACTGTCGTGGGAACGGTCTAGTCGAGTCGTCATGTCCGCTTGTCTGTCTGTATATACGCGAAGTGGTTTTGAAAAAAAAACGATTTGAAAAGCTGCTAATTTTGTGTCGGAAGCGTCAATATCGGACCACTATATCATATAGTTGTAAAACAAACAGAATTATCAAAAATTTTACTTTTTTTAAATGACAAGGTCTCTCACGGAATTCGCATAAATTGTGATCAGAAGCAACGCTACAATCTCGAGCTCAGATCACTATTGCATATATCAGATCACTATCACTATTGCCGGCCAGTCAGTACAAAATCAATATACAGTTATATTTTACCTGTTAATGCCAGTGAGAAGTGCACCTGTAGGGGGTATTATAGCATCGGTGCAGCCGAACTTGGCGTTTTCTTTTTAATTTTTTTTTTTTACTACAATTATCATGAATTAATTATAAAAGTATGAAATTCCAGCATTTTTTAAATTATGCTCATATCATTAAAATTTTTCATTGCATACTTTTATTTTGAGGAAAAATAAACTTACATATGTACATTTATATATTTGCGTAGTTATCTTGCATGTGCACTGCTAATACCATAATGCCAGTAAAAATGTAAAATATTTGATAATAAATATAAGAATTAAGCTAGCAAGTAATGTTAGCATTTACGTATATACATATGTGTATTTATGCAGCTTAATAACCATTTGTGTAATTATTGTATATCGTTTACTTTTTTATCCATATCATATTTCTGTTGCTTACAGTCATTAATGTATTTTTTTCGATTTGTCGTTTCTCTTCATGTACTCTTTTTTTGTGCCATTCAAACGGTTATGTCCCGCATGTCGTTGTTGTTGTTGTGCCAATGTTTCAAATCAACTCGTGATTTCGTCGTGTATTAAAATAAATCTGTGAATTAACACAATTGGCCGCTTACGTGACAATCATCCATACAATATAATTTGTAAACGACGTTGTTTTTGTATTTGCAATATATAAATATAAATATAAACTTGCACCATATCACAAACATGCATATTTTGAAAAATGCACGCCTCCTACACTCATACGCACGCACTCACATGCAGACACTACCAATACGCATCATCATCAACAGCAGCAACAACAACAGTTGCAGCAAAGCATGCTTATGCCAGCGCATACACTCTCCATGGAGAGTCTGAACTCTTCGGCAGCCACACTGGCCAATTTGAAGAAGCAACGTTCGCTTTCGCGCACAAATAACGGTATATTGATAAGTGAAAATGGTTCTGTTCTAGGAGCCGCCAACAACACCAGCAACACAATCAACAACCATTTGCACACCGGCAGCGCCAACAACAACAATTCAATACTTGCGAACGACACGAGCAGCGGTGCGGTGAATCAGCAACCGCTGAGCGGCGGTCTACATCCCAGTCACTTGGAGTTTAACAACGGTGCGGGCGGTGGTGGTGGTGGTGGTAGTATAACGAGCGGTGGCGAGCAGTCGACCGGCTACTCGAACGCCTCGTCGATGAACAAGTTTAGCGGCATAACGGGTGATGTAGTTAGTGATAGCACGAGTTCCAAAAAATGCTGTACGCTAATGTGAACGCAAGTGTGTAACAAGTGGTCGGTCGGTGCGGCGAGGATGTTGTAGCAGCGTTACAGTATTCGCAGTTGGCATTTTCAATTTGTGCATTTGTTGCAACAATTTAACAGGGTATTAAATATATGTTTGTAGGTATGTAACGGTTATGCAAGTGTATTTTTTAGACAAGTTGTTGCACCACAAATACACACACACACACWATGTACATCACAAAATATGCAGAAAGTATACTTCGTTGTAAACTCAATTCACCAAACACACCACTTATATGTTTTTTTGTTGAAAGTGCATAACTTTGGTGCACTCATACACGGGTAGGCTACAGACGGCTGTTGTGAGATTGTTGGTGAGTGGAAAAACAATTTTTTTTTATTGAGAATATAAAAATTAGTCAAAAGATTTTGTTAAGCTAGTTATTGGGAATGGCGAACTTTTAATTAATTTTAATTTTTCAAAATTTTTTCATTTCAAAATTTTTTCAATCCAAATTTTTTTGTCATTTTTTGAGTTCCAATTTTGGGGACAAGAAAATACTAACTCAAGCACTACGGAGTTAGTATTTTCTAAGATTTTTTTTGAAATTGTCTAAAAACTTAAATATTTACAAACTTTTCGAACTTTATATTAATAAATGCGTAATCATTATAATTTTTTTTTTATAATTATTGTACTTTTTTTTCTAATTAAAAAAAATAAGTCAAGTGTCCCTGTGACAGCTTCTTAATCCGCTTAAAGCTGAAAGGACGACTTCATAATTATAGAATATATATGTAGATATGATATACAAATAATAAAAATATAAAAAATATTTTCGTAATAACTTTCGTAATTTTTCTTAATTAATTCTTTTTTATTATACAAAAATTTTGGAATTAAAAAAAATGTGCATAACTTTCGTAATTTTTTTT